TTAATGTTAATAACTGAAACCTTATTGTAAGTGTTACTACATTTTTATATATTGTTCTGTGTATGTGTGTTTCTCAGTCTGGATGGTTTGGATTAACCCTTTAATTGCCGGCCCTTAAAACCAGACTGCCAGACGGTTAGTGTAAATGCATGTGCCCGTTGTCCACTGTTCAATATAAAATAAATCTTGATATATTGCTCACACATATTCATATGAAACTCAGTACACGTATAGATCTCATTGAGCCAAACAACTTTTGCGCTGCATGTCATAGGCTCGGCCCAACAGGAAGTTGGCTATTCAGGGCTATTTAAAAAGGGCATGCTCTGGAATTTGATATACTCCTCTGAGAATTTCCCAAGGATTGTCACCAAACTCGGTGAACATGATCTCAAAATGTTAATAACTGAAACCTTATTGTAAGTGTTACTACATTTTTATATATTGTTCTGTGTATGTGTGTTTCTCAGTCTGGATGGTTTGGATTAACCCTTTAATTGCCGGATCCCTTAAAACCAGACTGCCAGACGGTTAGTGTAAATGCATGTGCCCGTTGTCCACTGTTCAATATAAAATAAATCTTGATATATTGCTCACACATATTCATATGAAACTCAGTACACGTATAGATCTCATTGAGCCAAACAACTTTTGCGCTGCATGTCATAGGCTCGGCCCAACAGGAAGTTGGCTATTCAGGGCTATTTAAAAAGGGCATGCTCTGGAATTTGATATACTCCTCTGAGAATTTCCCAAGGATTGTCACCAAACTCGGTGAACATGATCTCAAGACATTGGGGGTGCTAAATTGTAAAGGGAGTTTTGATATCCCGAATGGTTTGCCCGCGGCGAGGCGGTGAAGTTATGGTGAGAAATGAGAAACAGGAAGTGTCTATGTTACGGGGCTGACGAGACGTGAGACTTGCGGATCCATGTTATATAGTGAGGGAGTGATATGAAACAGCTGGGTGCAATCAGTGTAAACAGGTGTGTGCAATTCGTGCTGAGTGCAATCAGTAATGCATGATGGGAAATGTAGTCCGGGGTGCTATGCAACAGTTTGTGTGGTGCGAGAGTCAATGAAAAGGAAAGTTCATGGACCGGATTCGTGACAGTCTAATAACATCCACATACATTGTCTAATTTTGATCAAACTTCAGGGGTTTGTTCGTTGTATGATACCAATCACATACATATGACTATTAGGAGTCAAAGTTATAGCGCCACCAAATGGCAGCAGGAAGTGTGTCATTTTCAAATGAAAAAATGTATGTTTAAGTTTTGAATATTAACTGACAATAATGCATGCTACATAATTATTGTTCATGTTAATTAATATAGTTAATGTTAATAACTGAAACCTTATTGTAAAGTGTTACAAAAATTTTATATATTGTTCTGTGTATGCGCGATGAGACAAAACCAATAAAAAACATTACAAACTAGGCATTTGTTGCATTCAGTGGGGACATAATTACTGATTATAATGACTTATACTGTCTTTTTACGCGTTGCGTTGCGTCGCGCCGCTTAAACAAACGCTACCCTATACTGCTCAAATCTCACGTATGAATCATCAGTTGCAAATCCTTTAAATATGAAAACGTACTTACAGGCTGTGAGTCAGCATTATTTTTCAGAACACTGGTATTGTAGGCTAGTCTCCCAGGAAATGGTCCTTGTCCTCCGTAAAATGCGCTGCACACATCTGAATATTTGGTTTGAACTGTTCTGGAACAGTGTTGTAAATACAACCTAACCACTGATTTGTAGTTGTGTCCTCTTTTGGAAGCCCAAACAAAGTAGTTTCGCTTTCACAATGAAACACACAGCGTGCGTCACCACAACATGGTGGCGGCGGTAACAATACTACAGTGAGAATCAAAGTTACGCCTTCTTTCTTTGCGTGAACATTTGGGCGGTGTTATGCAAATCTTCCCACAAACTCTGAAAAAAATTTATTGGATCATAGTAAAAAAAAATATGTCAACTTGTTACATCCAATTACTTTGATTTATATCAACTTTAAAAGTTTACTTTGAAAGTAATTAATTATCCATTACTTATCCAAAGCAAAAAGTGTCTTTGAACCAAATATATTTTTTAAGTCTTAATGAAGTTTTTTACTTCTTTTTAAACCAGATATCCAAACAAACACAATTTAAAATGTCATGTAATATCAATAAATTTGTTTAATTTCAGAATGTGTTTTGAATGATTGATTTTTATCATCTGTGAGAGATGAATGACTTCAAGTGTCAAACTTTTGACAATTTATTTTGTCACACCATTTTTACAATGTGTATAACATCAGACAAAGCATCCTTAAAAAATACACATTGTATAACAATGTAAAAAGCTTTCCATTGGCATACCTCAGATGGAACACAATTGAGGTTCAGAAAAAAATAGACTTCCATGAACAGTCATTTATAAATTACACAACCAAGCCTTTACAATTAGGCTGCAGTTAAAGTGGCATTATATAACCAAATACCTTTAACCCTCTATGGCATAATGTTGCCCTTAGGCAACAAACCACTTTTTTGGACCTTACACCCCCCCCCC